AACATATATAACTTTTTATGGAAACAAGTATTAAGATTTTGTATTTAATTTGTTATAAATTTTCTAGCCTAACTAATAGTTATTTTTATGAGTTTTCACTAGCTAGTCGCTAGCATATATAGCTAGCAATCCTCGTGGCCAAATCGCTGTCTTTATCGTAACGATTTAATGCTAGCTATTCGCTAGCTTATTTAGCTAGCGATCCTCGTGGCCATATCGCTATCTTTATCGTAACGACTTAATGCTAGCTATTCGCTAGCTTGTTTAGCTAGCGGATCGCTAGCTTATAAAGCTAGCAATCATCGTGGCCAAATCGCTGTTTTAATCGTAACGAATTAATGCTAGCTATTCGCTAGCTTATAAAGCTAGCGATCCTCGTGGCCAAATCGCTGTCTTAATCGTAACGTCTTAATGCTAGCTATTCGCTAGCTTGTTTAGCTAGTGGATCGCTAGCTTATAAAGCTAGCAATTCTCGTGGCCAAATCGCTGTCTTAATCGTAACAAATATCGCTAGGTTTTCGCTAGCCGATTTCCCACCGGGATATTATTTCAGTAAGATAATACGCAATGTTAAAGCTTAAAAAAAAAGGCAATGAAAATTTCAGAAATTTAAAAGCTAAAATAAGTTGTACATAATAAAGATATAAAGGTAAATAAAATGCTGATAGCTAGTTACGAACATGATTTAATCCAGATGGAGGAGGATAACATTACCACTGTAAATGGCTCAGTAAAGGATAAGATTTGTTCATTACAAACCCGAGTGATAAATTATGGCATATTATTAGCAAATTTACCAACATGTAACAAACCATTTGTAATAGACAAAATTATGCAGTATTTGTGCGTCATTTTTAATGATGTTCCCCATCGTTTTATGATTAAACAAATGTCTTGTAAGCTTGGTAGTATAGCAGAACTGCAAGCATCAGAATGGGCTACCATTAGTTCACATATTACTTTTGAATTTGATGCAACAACCCAAGAAGGTGTACATATTATTAACATTCACTTAACATCAAAGAATAAATGCTAAGTCATTGCTCTGGATCAATTAGCTGGAGGTACAGATGATGATTACGAAAATCATATCAGGGTGGCCACTGGTCATGGAAATCATGGAAATGTCATGGAATTTTATTTGGTCATGGAAAAAATCATGGAATTCTTAAATTTTTATTGAAAGTCTTGGAAAATTCATGGAACTTTTTAAAATGATCTTTATTTTTTTCTACTTGTGATATTTTTAGGATGCAAAGAAAAGTACTAGTATATCTAGTCTAAGCCCTTTTTTGAAAAAGGTATTTTTCCACTGTAAGTTATAAAAGAAGTAAAGAAAAATAATTTTTTTCAGACATGATATCAGAACTTTTTACCAATTAGTTTTTGGTTAACATGTCTTATAATGACCAAGTTGCAAATACTTAGTGCATGGCAAGTACTGAATATTTTACTCATGTGATTTATCATAAAAAAAAAAAGTCAGGGATTTTTGTTTTCAAATTTGAGTCGCCACCCTGTAAAATATTTGGTTTTAATAAAATTGTAAAATATGTGTTTAATATAACATTTTTCATTACTTTATAACCAAAATAAGCAATAAAGTTTTATTAGTTAAAATTAAAAACTTTTGGAAGTACTGAGTGTTTAATTTTCTTTTTTAATTTCTTCTTTTCTTTTATTTCCCTGCATATATGTAAAGCAGTTGATCATCTAGATTTTATTTAGATTTTCACTTAGCTTCTTTTAATGATAGTCGTCAATAGATCATCTCAAATATATTAAAAGTAATGTCAAACAAAGTTGCCGTAAACCATCTTACCATAAGCAAACTTTGTGACACTTAAGGGAAAAGTTTGAATGAGCTAAACTGTCATTTACACGCTCTTTTTACAATTGCTACCGCAATGGCTAGCTATGAGTGTATGGCATTTAAAATAGTTTTGGCTATGAACAAGTTGAGGTTTAAAAATGGCAAAAGGTGATTCAAAAAGATTTGTTAGTTTTTAGATGATCAAAAACTACCACGAGGTATCATTCCAAAGTATCGAGGATATTGTTTTCATATTTTTTTTCATATTTGTTTTATTTTTATAAAACATTTAATGAGTTTGAGCATTTTTTAACCATTGGAACAGTAAAATGCTGAACTCTACAAACAGTTCTTAGAGCAGCATTTTGTAACAAAACAGCTGTAAAGCAAAAATGTGTGCATGCATTATTTGAAAAACCACCTCCTCAAAGTCACATAAAATGGGAGACGTCATAAGTTATCAATGTAAGAGATATTTCTCCGTTTCTGTTAACCAGACTCTCAAGGAGGAGGTAGCATGTGCAAAGCTTCAAAATATAAATAGTGAAGAGTTAATGGGAATGTTTAGTGAGGCTGAAGAAAGATCACCTAATGCAACAATTTGTTATATTTCATACAAATTAAAATACCTAGATAGTTTAGACCAGTTATCTAGAGAAAATATAGTTATGTGGTTTATTCAGAAACCGATAAAAAGAGGATGATAAATCAAATGAAGTATTATGATATATGAGCAGATATTTCAAAAAAACATGCATGCAAATGCCAAAAAATGGATGAAAAAGACAAAAGAAAGTTAAAACGACAGTTGCATGAACTCTCTTACAATGAAATAAAGAGTTTAAATACATTATCTATCAAATAACTTCATGACTAAGATGATGTAATGTCAGATAGAATTGTTGAGCAAAAACTCTGCCATGAATGGTACGATAGTAAGTATTCAAAGTATGTCATGTATAATGGTAGAGAAGAAAAACTTAAAAAAACAAAACAAGACAAAGTTTACACAATTTCTTACTGGAATAAAGATAATACTGATATTGAAGCTGTTGACTACAACATAAAAATATTACAGCTTCCGCTGATATTGAACCAGTAGAGTTGATCTTTTTTTGAAGTGTAATATGTAACAAATTATGATAATATTACTTGTAAAAAAGCTTTCAAAATAGATACCGCAAGTGATGAAACTTGCAAAACAGATACCGCATATGATAAAACTTGCATAAAGGTATCGCAAGTCATAAAACTTGAAAAGATAGTCATATCAATTCAGGTATGCCAGGTTCTAAACCATATGTTTTTATTTTACTTTTTTTTTTATAAATGTTTTTAGAGAAAATAAAAGTATTTCACTTGGAATGACCTTGTTTCACTTGGAATGACACTTGGAATGCACAAGTGTTGTGACTTGCAAAATATTTTGATAGGCGTTTCAGGCTTATCTTCTCGTGGTGTCTATCGTTACAAATGATTATTATAGTGTTCCATTTATGAAATTGATTATTTTAATTATTTACTAAAAGCCAAGACAACTATTTAAACTTAGGATATCTAAAATGTTTTAATACAGAACAATATTAAATTGATTGTTACATTTTTTTATAGGATACAACACTTATTTTTTTGGTAATGAAATAAAATAAATTTAATGAAATATTAAAAAATAAAATGTACTAATTTATTTTGTTTGTTAAAGATACAATTATTTTTAAGAATTCAACATCTTTTTATTGTAGGTTGTGGGTAACCATTACAACCCTATTCTACAAACTTCTTAACTTAACCAAAATTTACGAATAGCAGCGAAAATACTTTTTTTTCAAAAGTAGGCTTGGTTGTGGTCTTCAACTTTAGCTTTTAGGTTATACTTGGTGCCAAAAGCCTAATTCAGGTTTTAAGTTGTTAACTCATTTTAAAATAATTTTAATTGTTGTTATAAAGATTTATTTATTTTATTTATTTATTTTTTTAAGTAAGGGGGGGGGGGGGCATACGCTCCTCAAGTCAATAAGCACACCGCTAATAAATGAAATTCATGTAAAAAAAAATTTAATGTTTTTTATACTGTGTACTAGTTTCACTTATTTTATTAAATATAGAAATGTTTATTTATAATAAGATAAGTAAATATTTTTTAAATTAGGGTGTGTTAAACCATCACCACCATATCCACCACAAACTTTAATATACATCAATCATTGTTAATGGTCTGGAATAAAGTTATAGCAATTTTTAGTATAAAAAATTAAGCCGTTTGCTGAAAAAAAACACTCTTTATTGAAAGAAATATGTTTATTTTTAGGGTGAAGAAGGTGGTTCGGAACCCCCTCTAGCCCTCAGGAAACTAGGATGTTATAAATTTGTAGCCTACTGTTACACCTATCTTTTGATACTAAGCTATAGGTATTTAGATAAGAATAGACAAAGTTATAACAATTTAAGTAAAGAAAAATTAAATTTTGACCACAGTTTATTCAACAAGCCCGACTAAAAACGTCATAACCTTTTGTAGAATAGTTCGATTTTTATAATTTTTTCACCTTTAAAATACTGTATTGAAGCACTTTACAAAAATATATACAACAATCTAGCTATTGATCAATTTAAAATTTTTAATCCACATACCTAAATATATATATATGAAGGGTACAAAGGAAAAACAGGGAATGTCAGTTTTTGAAAATATTGAGTTTTTTTACTTACATGTTCTACAAATTATAAGCTACCTTCAGTGTTAAATTTGAAGCAAATAAATAAAATTTAATGGTCTAATTTAGTGATGAGAAAATACCCCTGCTTTGTAAAAACAGGGAATGTTCTAATGTTGCAACCGTAAAACCGGAAATGTCACTAGTTTTGATGTTTTTATTAGAGGTGTACCGGATACGATATCCGCTTAAAAATACCGGATAATTTACTATCCGGTATCCGGCCGGATATATACTATATCCGGCCGGATATACCGAATAATACTTTATCAGGCGCGGATCTAAGGGGTGGCCATTGTGGCCATGGCCACATAGTTTAAAGCCAGATTGATTTATTAAAAAAAAATTATTTAATGCTTATCAAAAGTCTTTTAGATTTAGATATAATTATTAAGATATTTTTAATTATATGTAATTGAAAACGATTTTAGGACTTGCGTATCATTTTTCGTCGTTGATAAACTACGTCACGCTAAATTTAAATTTTAAAAACGCTGTAAACATCCGCTATATTATTTCAAAATTCTCTGCAATAGAGAGTAAATAATACTTATAAACTCTGCGTGACGTACTTTATGGATAACCCTTATCGGGTTATGGCCATAGAGATAAAATTTAACGGCAGCCAACTTAGCTTTGGGTTTCTTTGCTAGCGTGATATTCCTCAAAATTTCATTACGTCTGCCGTAATTTACGTAATTTGGCCATAGAGATTCCTGCCATGGCCACAACGGCTCCTATTATACGTTACCGACCTTTTATTCAATCGATAAATGCTATCAAATAAATAATAAAATATAGATCTTTCAACCGTGAAAATTAAACTTGGCCACACAGTTAGTTTTGACGTGTCCGATTTAGAAAAATGTTCTCTTATATAGTAGCTAACTAATTTGGGTTTTTTATTCGTTACCGTAACATTTTCATTAAAATCGTCTTTAGAAACTAAAATAGCGTGACTTTAATAACTTGATTTTTTTAAATTTATATAATATGAATCCATATTTAACTGAAGAACTAGTTGCTTGTGCAATAGAAACAAAGCATAGGCCTAATGTCTTAAATTACAAAACTAGACTCATTAAAGAGCTTTCGGAAATAAATTTAATGTTTCCAAGAATACACGATTCTTACCAATTTAACACAGATATGATGGATTTTGTACCCTTAAGTAAAAAAAATCTTGGTTATTCAGCATTGAGGTATTTTTTGTTTGTTTTGAGTTTTATGAAAGTATTATTTAATTAAAATAATATCACAAATTGGATCTAGATGTAAGATCAATGTTAGATTTTAATTTTATTTATTGGTATTTTAACACCAATAGAATATAAATCTGTGTTAATAATTAGTTAAACGTTTAACTAATTATTAACACAGATTTATATTCTTGATAATGTGTATGAAAATAAATTATTTATTAAACATACAAATAACCTAAAAAAAGTGATTTAGTTTTTTAATAAGAAATTATGGTATATACTAAAATGTAATATTAGTAAAAAAAAAAAATATTTATAGTTGAACTTTTTATTTTTTTGTTATTGATATTACATTTTAGTATATTATACTCATTATTATATTTTAATATATTTTACTATTTTTCTCAGATCTACTGAAGATGGAAATTGTCTTTATAGTTCAGTATCTTTGATTTTAAATGACAATAATCATACTTCAAAAATTCTAAGATTACTGACATCAATTGAGTTATTTGAAAACATAAATTTTTACACAAGGTATGATTATTTTTGTAGTTATTTTAATCAACATAGATCTGAATATTCTCAGCTTTCTAATTTGTTTTTTATTGCTGTTTCGTTTAAATGCTCTGACAGTTTTTCAACAATTAATGATAATATGATTTCTGAACTTCTGTTAAAAGAAGCGTATTTAAATTGCTTTGATAAAACATTTTCATCTTTCATTTGTCTAATAGCATTATCTAATGTTATAAAGCAACCTATTGAATCTATTTATCCTGAAATCGGTTTTAAAAAGTATCATAGTTTTTTTAACACTCTTATAAAGCCTCGCATCCAAAAATTAAATTGTCCAATAAATATTTTGTGGTGCAATTTAGATAAAACAAAAAACCAAAGTATTTTATGTTTTAAGCCAAATCATTTTGTGGCACTGGTTAAAGATCTTTCTAAAAAACGTCCTGCTGTTGTTATGAGTGATCCAAGTTTACTTTGCATCAAAAAAATAAAAGTTTCTAAGTCTAGTTTTCCACCTACAGATAACAAAATACAGAAACCAATTCAGTCTAAATTATTTTTCCCTACTGTTTCTAAAAACACTTCAGATATAGATAAGTCTAGTTTTTGTAATAAAATAGTAAAAACTGAAGTAGTTATCTCAAAAAACGCCAACAACAATGATAAAAAGCAAATGAATCTTGAATCTTATGTTCCACAAAAGGAAAGCAATATTGTTGACATTAGTTTATTAAATACAAATCAGCTAGCATCTTATTCAAACTATGATGTTTCATCATACTGTCCACAAGGTGAAAAATTAAAATCAGGAACAAATGATCATGAACTTTTATCTCTAATTAATAATGTCTGGGTTCCGGATAAATGTTTCCAATTCCCTTTAACAGGTAAAAGCAGAAAAAGACGTTTTTTGCTAAAATGGCTAGATGATTTTTCTAGGCTTTGTTACTCTAAAATTGAAGATGGTGCATATTGTCTTCCATGTACACTTTTTGGTACAAATTTACCAAACAAATATGCATTATGTAAATTGTTTAAAGAACCATTTAATACCTGGCGTAATGCTGTAAAAGTTTTCAACGATCATGAGAAAACTGTTGACGGATTACACATCAAGTCCATGCATTGTTATAATATGCTTTTATCTAGAGCTAAAAATAATTCTTTTCCTATTGAAGTTTCTTTAGATAGTTCTAGGAAACAGCGTATAGAAGAAAACAAAAAAAAGCTTGAATCAATTGTTAAGACTATAATATTTTTAGGTCGAAGTGATATGCCTCTACGAGGTCATAGAGACGATAGAAAATATCAAGGAGAAATTGGAGAATCTTCAAAAAATACAGGGCTAGGTAATTTCATTGAGCTTTTAAATTTTAGGGTTGATGCAGGTGATTTAATTTTAAAGGAGCATCTTCTCTCTGCCCCCAAAAATTCCACATATATTTCAAAGACCATTCAAAACGAGTTAATTGAGTGTTGTGGAAATGCAATTGAAGAAGTTTTATTAAATGATATTAAAAAAAGTAAGTACTTTTCCATTATTGCAGACGAGGCTTCAGACTGTGCAACAATAGAACAACTTTCTATTGTCATACGTTATGTTGACTTGAACAGTAATATTAAGGAAGTTTTTTTATGCTTTTTTGAATGTAAAACAGGTACAAGTGGTTTAAGCATAGCTACCAATATTCTTGAAACTTTAAAAGAATTCGGTTTAGATATAAGAAAATGCAGAGGCCAGTCTTATGACGGAGCTGCTTCAATGTCAGGTGAATACAAAGGTGTTTCATCTGTTATAAAAAATGTTAATCCTAAGGCATTATTTGTCCACTGTGCCTCACATAAACTTAGTTTAGTTGTTGGGCAGAGTTGCCAAATCCAGCAAGTAAAAAATTTGCTTGAGCAAGTTAAAGACATAACTTATTTTTTTTAACTTTTCTCCAAAAAGAAGTAATTGCTTAAAGAAATACCTTCTTCCTGGTCAAGCAAAACTTATTGACACATGTCGAACTCGGTGGGTACAAAAGCTTCGTGGACTTGATGTGTTTTTCGATAATTATTCTGCAGTTTTTTCTGCTTTTGAAGAAATGGAAGACAATAATTTAAAAGAGTACAATAAAGAAACATCTTCAAAAGCATCTTCTTTTATGAAGTTATTGACAAATTTTTCTTTTATAGTTTCTTTAGTTTTAACTAAACAACTAATGGATTACTTTTATGGAATTTCTGTTACTCTTCAAACTAAATCTTTTGATATTTCCCAGCAACTGGATGAAATTCAGAATTTGACTAGTCGTTTAAGAGAAATGCAAAGAAATGCTGATGCTTACCATAATAAATGGTATAAAATTGCTCTTGCATTGGCTAAAACATTTGATATTGATGAAAAAAAACCTAGAACATGTGGTGTTCAGAAGCATAGAGATAATCAAATATGTGATACTGTATCTGATTATTTTAAAGTTTCTATTACATTGCCTCTTCTCAATCACCTTCACAATGAACTAGAAAATAGGTTTGATATTGAGAGCTTAATTGTTTATAATGGTCTATGTGCTATTCCTGCTAGTTTAACAAAGCAATATTTTAGATCTTGTCCATGGAAAGAAAAATTCCTAATTTTTTTGAATTTTTATAAATCTGATCTTCCTCATTTCTCATCAATTAACGCTGAATTAGAGTTATGGGAGGAATTTTGGAAAGAAAAGACAGAATTACCATCTACTATTTCAGATACATTAAAGTTTATGGATATGAGAGGCTTTCCAAACATTTTAGAGGCTTTTCATATACTTGCTACAATACCAATCACAACTTGTGAGTGTGAAAGGTCAATATCTACTCTTAGGAGAATAAAAACTTACACTAGGAGTACTATGTCAGAAAATAAATTGAATGGGCTTGCTTTAATGTCTATTCATCAGGAAATAGTTCCTGATATTAACAGAGTTATTGAAATATTTGCATCCAAAGGAGATAGAAAATTAGAGTTTTTATTCAAATAAAAGTTTTGAAGTTATGTTTAAAGTATTAACTATTGTTTTAAAAGTATCTCTTAAATATAAATAATTTTTCAAAAGCAAAATATTTCTACTCATTGTTTTAAACATGTAAATTGTGAAAATCATTTTTCATTAGCAAATTATTATTATTCATTGTTTTATATAAACTGTGAAACTCAATACTTCATTTGCTATTTCAATTAATTCCTAATGTTGAGAGCGTTTTCAGGTGATTTAGGTTGTTACTTTTTTAGTTGTTACTTTATTTGTTGTATTATATTTTTTCTTGTTTATTTATTTATTAAAAAATAAAAGTAAAAAAAATTATAAAAATATTTAAAATATTTGTGCATAACTGCCTATCAAAAAAAAAAAAAAAAAAAAAAGAATCCAGAAATGGAGGGCTAACCTTAAATAAGATTACTAATACTTAAGTTAAACTGTTTATTAAGAAAAGGAAATAATCCATAAATAGAGGAGTAACTTTAGGAAACATTAATAATAATAATTAACTTAAATTGCCTATCAAAAAAAGGGAAGAACCAGAAATGGAGGGCTAACCTTAGGCAACATTACTAATACTTTACTTAAGCTGCCTATCAAGAAAAGGAAAGAATCCAGAAATGGAGGGCTAACCTTAAGCAACATTACTAATACTTTACTTAATCTGCCTATCAAGAAAAGGAAAGAATCCAGAAATGGAGGGCTAACCTTAGGCAACATTACTAATACTTTACTTAATCTGCCTATCAAGAAAAGGAAAGAATCCAGAAATGGAGGGCTAACCTTAGGCAACATTACTAATACTTTACTTAAACTGCCTATCAAGAAAAGGAAAGAATCCAGAAATGGAGGGCTAACCTTAGGCAACATGACAGTTTACTGATGGAGTGCAAAGTCCTATGGCTTACCTTCTCGTTGGTGCACTTCGTTAAGTGAGTTAGACAAGTATTATGTCTAATTTATGAACTAAATAGCCAAGGCAACAATTTAAATAACTTTATTGTTAAATAGGTAACTAAAAACAGAATAAATCATGACATTAATAGGGTGATGTCACCCCTTCTTTCTCAACTGAAAATATAAAATTGTATCTGGGAATTTTAGATATAGTTTAAAGTTAACAAATGTAAAAAATTGAGGCTTATTTATTTTTTTGTTCAAGGCACTTTACTCCCCCCTCCCCCCCCCTCAATCTCTTCCTATCACTTATTTAAAAAAAAAAAATAGCTCTTCGCGCCGTCCGCGAACCCAGATTTGGCCACATAGTTACAAAATCCTGGATCCGCCCCTGATATATATATATATATATATATATATATATATATATATATATATATATATATATATATGTATATATATATATATATATATATATATATATATATATATATATATATATATATATGTATAAACACACACACATATATATATAACCAGTATGAGTATATATATACACCGGTATGAGCAAATACATATATATAAAATAGTGCATATAGTACATATAACATATAAAATATACTTTTAACTAACTATATTCTCTTATTTAAACAGAGTGTAGAATATATATTTATAGTAAAAAAAGTGTACCTTGAATCTTTATCCTTTTTTTTAAGAATATCCTTTTTTTTAAAAACTTATATTTGTATCTTTAGAAGATGTATAAACAAAAATTTTTTACAGATTTTTCTTACTTTTTTTAATTATAAATTTATTATTGATTGCGATCAATTGATTGCGATCAAAGTCCAATTTAATATAGATAATGCGTAAATTATTCCACTTATCACTTCAAACAAGGCCTTTAGAAAGCCTCGCTTTAGCAGCCTTCAAATTAAAAAAATTTAATTAAAAAAGAAACCGGATGCGACTTTACAAACCAACTTTAAGCACAGAATAGCTATCAAAATTGGCCAATCTGATTATTTGCAAATCCGCAAAGTTTGAATTCAAACTTTCATCAAATTATCTAAAGGTTTCACAAAATAGCAATTACATAATAATAATCATAAAAAACTGTATTGGTAAAAAATACCAATTAAAAAAATAAAATACAAAAAACTTTTTAATGGTGCGACCTGAGAAGAAAGTTTTCTTACTTTAATGGCGATGAATACAATTTTATTACCTAAACTGCTGGCTAATGATTAATAAAGTAAATTTCAATTCATAAAAAATTTACTAAATTAAAACCATATTTTTACTGTCGTCAAATTAAACATAAAAAATGAAGTAGAGCAGAACCTTGTGGTTGATCTTAAAAAATAGAAAAAAAATAAATAATTTAATAAAAATATATTTTTAAATTTGCACAAACCAAATAACTTTTTAAATGAAAATATAAAAAAAATTTAATACTAGTTTTTGTAGAGCATAAGAAATAGCAAACGTAGAACTTAAAAACATATACATAACAGAAAATTGATATGCGTAAGTTCGGAAAAAAATTAAATATAAATATAACATTACAATATCTTTAAATCAAGCTAATATGATAATGATATGTTTGACTAATAACTATACTAATCAAAGTAAGAATAACGCTTTCATTCTATGTTCCTATAGTAAAATTAAAGTCGTACAAGTTAAATATCAAAAGCTCTAAAAATTTCCAATTACAGTAAAATATGATAAAAATTTATATCATTCAATACCAGTTTCAAACATTTATATATTGCATGATTTACTTAGAGGGGTGTGATTATTTAGAAGGTACCCAGTGGGCGCAAGAACGTTTTAGGAACGATTTTTAATGGTACGTTTTATTATGGTTTTTTAAACGTCCATATGAAACGGTGACCGGGCGTTTTTTAAAAGCGTTTTGTGAACGTTTTTAAAGAGTCCTACAAAAAACGTTTTTTATTCATTTTTTAAACGTCTATATGAAGCGGTGAACGGACGTTTTTCTGAAAATGTTATATAATGGTTTTTATTAGGTCTAAATGAAACGTTTTGTCGTTTTTAACATTTCTCAAACAACCTTTTTTTAAGTATAAGTTATTTAAGTAAATAACTTATGTTGTACAGAAAAAAAACCTTTTCACAAATGAAAACTTAACAGTCTAGATCCGGATAAATAACTTAAAGTTTTAACATTTTGTGTTTATTTACAATTTAAGCATACACAACATAATAGTTTTTTTTTGCTGTTTTATTAAGCTATTTATTTTATTATTCTCTTCAAACAATCGCCTTTCAACTTATCGACCAAATCGAAATTTGCTGTATGTGACACTAATGTTCCTAAAAAAGAAAAATACCATAGAAATCTTTCATGCATTTCACTAGCATGTGAAAAAAATGCATCAAAATGTAAATTATAATAATAAGAAATGAGTAATGGAAAATATCACACAGTATATTAAAGGAACAATATAAAAATTTAAAAAGTACCTATAATTATTCTACTAAATAAGTTTTTTTGAAATAATTTATTTCGATAAGTTTCAGCTTCCTTAAACAATGGAACACATTTTGACATTATTTCATCCAAAATATTATTAGCAGAGCTGAAAAAGACCTTAAAAAATCATAGATAATCATTCAGTTTGATCACATTTTACTTTATATAGGAAAACTTTATACTTAAATGTAATCAAGAATATAACAACAAATAAAACTTTGCTTTATTATTTAAAATTATTTTACTTTCATCAAACCTTGTTATATCATTTATTTCATCATAATAAAATTATGAATCTTCAAACTCAGTCTTTTCCACCAAGATATCCAATGCAAATAAAGACTTTTTAAGACTTTAGGTATCGTAGTTCCATATATATTGGAGATTGAAAACCTATTAGAAAAAAAAACTTCGAACTAGTAAAATATTAATAAAAAACTGTTGTGGAAAACTGAAAATTAAATTAAATACAATAAACATCTTTTAAAAAAAGAAAAGACAACATTTAATAACATACTTGTTCCACTAATAGACTTAAAACTTGATGGCAGTTTATCATAACAATAAAATGCAGCAATGCATCGCTGAAATTTTTTTTAACTTGTTGAAGAAATGTTTTATGTATTATTTATAATGTATTATTATGTATAATGTATTATTTAGCAACTTGTTAAAAATACATTCACATTTTTTAAATATTTCGAAAAACATTTATCTGGTTTTACTTAGCATAAAATGTTGAATAAAAACAGATGAACTTACATTTGGCAAATTTTTGCACATTAATATCAGGACTTGCTTTTCTAATGTGCAAACAATTGTGATGTTTCACTTATTGTTCTAAAATTGATATAAAAAAAAATACACACACTTTAATCTTATATATGAACTTACATTGAAGTATTTAATAAAGAATATTAAATATAACACCTATTAGGCTTGTCAATTTTTATAATTGCCTTTCTTTATAAGGTGATAAAAATATTTTTGTATTTTTTAACTTAAAATACAGTCGCTTTCTTAATTTTTTGCTAATAGATGATTGTTACTACTGAGTAAAGTCTTCCGGCTAGGCTAAAAAAAAAATCATGGCTCAATATTATGTATACAAAGTTATTTTTACTAAAAGTTCTACTTGTATAAATAATGTAGAGCAATTGCTAACTGGAGTAGAAATATTCTAGATAGAAATGGCTTTATACATTTATCAAAACATTTATTTATGAAATGATTGTAACATAAACTTACTTCGTGTTAGGTTGTGATCATTTCATTGTAACTATACTTGCATTTTTGTTGCTCATAATTGAGAATGGTAGTTTAACTATTTTCAGTATATATAAAAAATAATTTTACATACATAAAAAAAAATTATAAATAAACACACACACTCACACACATATATACATATATATATATATATATATATATATATATATATATATATATATATATATATATATATATATATATATATATATATATATATTATATATATATATATATATATATATTTATATATATATATATATATATATATATATATATATATATATATATATATATATATATATGTGAATTATATATGTAATATATATATATGTAATATATATATATATATATTATATATATATATATATATATATATATATATATATATATATATATATATATATATATATATATATATATATATATATATATATATATATATATATATATATACAGTCCCATGACAATTTATTAGTGCCCCCAATATTTTTTTCATATTTTCTTATTCAAGTTGAATTTAACAATTGAAAAGTAATGTAATATATTTTAAATGTATTATTTATAAGAAGTCAATTATGTATAAAGTTAATTTCTTCAGATTTTTTTTTACTATTGGTATCCCTGACATTTCTGGAAGCCATCTTGTCACGACACTATTACTCAACTATCATCTTTACAAGCACGTGATTGTTTTTCTCTGTCTATTTTATCGTTTTTTTTTTAGAATTCTGAAGAAGTAAGTGCAATATTTAGTTTTTATTTCTTTTACTAATATAATTTAAACTTGTAAATAAAGATTTTCTAATATTATTATTACAGAAAGGTCATTTTTGATAATGTTACAACTCTAACCTCAAAAATCTTGTATTTTTTAGTAATGGGTAAAAAAGGAGATCTTTCACCAACAAAAATTGGATTTATAAAAGCATTGATAAATGAAAAAACACTTTCGCAGCGTGAAATTGCTAAAAAATGTGGTATTTCACAAACCTCAGTACAGAGAGTTGTCAAAAAATTGGATATGGGTGATAACTGTTCACCGAAAAGAAAAGGTAAATGTGGTAAAAAAAAATTTTTTGACTCCTCGTGGTGAAAGAACATTGTCGAAAGTAATAAAGGAGGATAGGACTGCTACTAATTCTTTCATAAAAAATAAATTACAACCCTCTGGAATTCAAATGTCCACCAGAACATTGCAGAGAAGACTCAATGATCTCGGATATAATAGTAGACGGCCAGTAAAAAAGCCAAAGTTAACAATCAAAATGAAAGAAAATAGATTGAAATGGGCTCTGAAGTATAAAAACTTTACAATAGAAGATTGGAAACAGGTTTGTGTTTAAATTATTTTAATATTTTTATATGAAAACACACATGGAATGAGAAATTATAAAACAATATTTTATTTCAGGTTTGCTTTAGTGATGAGAGCACATTCCAAGTGATGACAAACAAAGCTCAGTATGTTCGCCGTAAAATATCGGAAAAATATCATGAAGACTGTGTTATAAAAACTGTGAAATATCCGACTTCTGTCATGATTTGGTCCGTGATAAGTGGAAAAGGTTTGGGTCGACTCTACGTTGTAGAGGGCATTATGAGGCAAGACCAGTATCGAGATGTCTTGCAACATCGATTGTTACCACAATTAAGGGATTGGTTTGGTGAAATGGAGAAATTTATATTTATGCAAGATGGTGCCCCTTGCCATACTGCAAAATCTATAAAAAAGTTCCTCTCAGAAGAAAAAGTTCCATTATTGGATTGGCCAGGTAACTCACCAGACGTCAATCCAATAGAAAATGTTTGGGAACTCCTGAAGAGAAAAATTTCAAAAGAAAATATCACAAACAAAGTTAATTTGATTGAAAAAATTATATATTATTGGAACCACGATATAAATTTAAAAGAAATGTCATTAAAATGTATTGAAAGCATGCCTCGACGCGTCCAAACAATTATCCAGACGTCAATCCAATAGAAAATGTTTGGGAACTCCTGAAGAGAAAATTTTCAAAAGAAAATATCACAAACAAAGTTAATTTGATTGAAAAAATTATATATTATTGGAACCACGATATAAATTTAAAAGAAATGTCATTAAAATGTATTGAAAGCATGCCTCAACGCGTCCAAACAATTATTGATGCCAAAGGCGGGCTCACAAAATATTGATACAATGTGTGTCTATCATTTGGTTTATTAATTTTTGTCGTTATTTTATAGATTTATTTGGTTTTATTGTGTATATGAATGTTAATCAATTAAAAATAAAAAGTATTTGAATACATTTTAATTGTTTACTGCATTTTATAACCCCAAGAAATCATTAATACAGAAAAAATGTAGGTGGCACTAATAAATTGTCATGGGACTGTATATATATATATATATATATATATATATATATATATATATATATATATATATATATATATATATATATATATATATATATATATATATATATATATATATATATATTTATATATATATATATATTTATATATATATATATATATATTATATATATATATATATATATATATATATATATATATATATAATATATATATATATATATATATATATATATATACAGGGCCGCCAAGAGGGGGGGGGCAATTGAAGTAGATTGCCCCGGGCATCACAGTCTATGGGGCATCACATGCCTTAAAAAAAAAAAAATTATTGAAATGATAAAAAATTTAGCTGATAACGTATTTAAAGATTAAGCAATTTTTGTGTATTAATTTCTTTCTCCTTTTAAACTTTGTTTGCATTTAAAATAGGATAATTATTACTTTACAAGGTTTTCATTATCCATTTGAACGCACGCGTTTTCATTGGCCTTTTGTTCGCATGATAGAATAAAAAGCGTTAAAATTTTTTTTTTTTCTTATTTAACGTTTGTAAAAGCCTGACTTCTGATAGTTTAACTTATGTTAAACTATCAGAAGTCAGGCTTTTACAAACGTTAGGCTTGTGTCCCTGTGGATACTTTTGTGCATATGTATGTTTTTGACTCGCCTGCATTTTGTTCCGACTATATTTTGACAAGAAACTTATCTTTGGTGGATATTTTAATTGTAAGTACTGACTTTTTATCTGCAATTAATAACACCAAAGTATTATAAAGTTTTTAATTTTTAAAATTTAAAAAGTTAAAATTCTTTATATCGTCATAAGTTTTAGCATGAATAATCAAAGACCTCCACGATTGAAACAGCTGTCTGGAGCTGCTGAGGGAAAAAGAGCGATGATTCGGAAAAAAAACGAAAGCAAAAACGAACGCTTTTAGATTGCGTTCGGTGGACAAAAATCGAAGATAAATGCAAGCAGGTAGTTAAACTATTTTTTAATCTTGTGACGTTCATGAAAAAATAATTAGAATAATTCTGTTTAATACTTCTTTATAGTTCAATGATATTGAGATCGGTATCAATGACTCTAATGAGTTGCCAGACCATTATTCCGACAAACTTTTTCTTGCCGATAACATCGATGACTCCCAAAAAACATCATCACATTTAAAAAAGGATCAGTTGGATTTTGGACTTGATTGTCACAATGAGCAACAAATTTATAAAAGTGATCTTTCTATACCAATATTCTGATGGGACCTTCTTCAAATCCTAGCAATTTTCCAAGAGATCAAAAAGAACGCAAATTCCCTACTTATATTTTTTTAGAGGAACAAAGAAACGGAGAAAAAGTTAAAAGAGATTGGCTCGTTTGGAGTAAGGCTGTGGCATCACTCTTTTGTTTCCCTTGCTCCCTTTTTGGATCGCCTAACTTAACCAAACCCGGTGTTCAATCCAGTTTGTTGTCTTGGAATGGAGGTATACATGGAAATTGGAGAAAACTTTCAGATCGCGTTAAAAGTCATCAACAAAGCGATTTTCACCGTAACTGTAATCTCCAATGGAAAGCAGCTACGATTCACTTGAAAAGTCAAAAGTCCATTGAGCATCAGTTAGAAAAACAAATTGGAGATGAAACAAAGCGATGGAAAGTAATTTTACAATGCATTCTTGACGTCACAATTTTTCTAGCTTCAAGAAACTTTACTTTTATGGGTAAGAATATTGTTTTTAAATTTTAAATTATATTTTGCATTATTTTATTTGTAATTTAAAAATCAAAATTACAATTTTTAATTGGATATAAATATGGATTACTATTTTGATTATTTTTTGTTTGTAATTAGGATCCAATCAAAAGTTGTTCAAAAATAGGAATGGAAACTTCCTTGGAGCGCTCGAATTAATTGCTCGCCACAACAAAACATTACAAGATCATATGCATCTTATTGCTTAGCACCAAGAAAAAGAAAAACGCACGCAAGCGCATTATTTATCCTGGAAATCACAAAATGAATTTATCAAGAAATGCGGCAAATTAGTAGTTCGAGAAGTTATTCGAAAAATCAAAAAATCAATATATTTCACCATCATCACGGACAGCACTCCCGATTCGTCCAACAGCGAGCAAATAACTTTTGTTTTTCGTTTTTTGCATTTCAGTGATAACCAGCTGTTGGAGGTCAAAGAAAGATTCTTTAAGCTAGAAGAACTTGAAAAGAAGAAGGGATCTGATATAACAAAGTTGATATTGAATGTGTTGGAAGAGAATGAGCTCGACATATAAAATTGTCGTGGTCAAGGCTACGACAACGGCGCTAATATGGCAGGTATTTACAATAGAGTTCAAGCTTTGATAAGACAGAATAATCCACAAGCAATTTTCATTCCTTGCTCTGCTCACAGTTTGAACTTATGTGCAGTACACGCTATTGAATCATCGGCTCCTGCAAAATCCTATTTTGGAAATATTCAAAAGCTATACAATCTGTTTAGCAGCAGCCCAGTTCGTTGGAAAATTCTTCAGGAGGAGACAGGCCAATCATTACATAAACTTTCTGTTAAACGATGGAGTTCAAGGATTGAATCAGTTAAGCCACTAGCAAAAAAGCCAAGAGAGATCTTGAAATCATTACATCATCTAAAAGAGTTAGACCTTCCAGGCGAAAGTAGTAATGAAGTGCATTATCTCATTAAA